ACACACACACACACAGAAGCTATGACTACAGTGACAAAAGGAGCTTATATGAACAGCCAAAATAAGTACAGGACCAAAGTCTAAGTTTAAAAATCTGTCATAATTTTTCACTGAGCTACCATATTTAAGCCAGTGTGAAGCTAAGACACCTGAGATTTACTTTATAGGTGTGTGTGTGCATGTGTGAGCGCTACCATTCAGGGCTCCTAAAACTAAAATGATCCTTCCTGGAATAAGGGAGAGATGATATTTTGCATTTTTTTTACAGATCAGTCTCTAAAATTTCCTTCCTGAGCTCATACATTTTTCATTTTTGGTGCATGTATGCTATAAAAAACTGTCACTGTTAGGTGTCCTGCTGTTTTGTGCTGGTGGTTGTGGGCTGTGCTGAGCACAGCTGTGCGTTCACCTTAGGGGACACAGGAAGCGAGTCAGGATCCAACAGCAGCCGTGCCATGGAAAAGAGTGCTGATGTGAGGTGCCAGTAACAGAGGAGGAGGGGAGGAGAGGAAAGGAGAGGAGGCATGGTAACGAAAAAAAGAACAAAAACATTTATGGACCCACGCACTGGGCCTCAGGGTGGGAAAAGAAAGAACTGCAACCATGTGTAGGAATGGGACGAGAGAGCTTATTCTGCCTCGCTGTGGTAGCTGATGTTCAAACTGCGCCAGGCGAGGTTTGGGGTAAAAAAAAATACGGCAATTTCTTCAGCCTGAATCATACAAATGAGAAGAAATTCAAAAGAGGGCTTAACTAAAGAAAGAACAAGAGAGAAGCAGAATAGCTTGAGTGTGAGGGGAAGTGAATGATTTACAGGATGTCAGCAGTAGTCCAATATTCCTGCTGAGTTCTGGTGCCTGTGAACAATGTGTGACCCTCAACAGCAGTTTTTTTTCTGTGACACATTTCCCCAAAAACTCCCATCTTATAAAAATCACAAATCTACAAAAAGTGCTAATCCCTGACCTTGAGGCTCTTGGTCTTTTATTTCGTTTCCGTCTTGGGGGTTCATTGTTATCGTGTTTCTGCGCTGCACTTCCCACAGGTCACTTGTCAATCAAACAGTAAAGGCAGATCGTTTCCTGTATGGGCAGGGATTTTTTCCAGGTGTCCAGAGCAGTAGAAGTAGCTGCTTTCACGGACTGCATGTAAATTACAGCACATTTGTATTCTAGCATTCCCTGACAGTGATTATTGTTTCATCACTTACTTTTTTGTGCTCAAATTATAACTTTAAAGCAAAACATTTTACATCTTATATCAAGAAACATATGATTGAACAATGTTGTAAAGGCAGCTGTATTTTGCATGTCACTCAATGTGTATTACTCTGTCTGGACAAGTGGTAAAAGCAATAATGATTATGTGCTCTTAATATTTCATCTTTCTTCAACTGGAGAGCTGTGCACTTCATCAGCACTTATACAAAAACACAAACACAGACGCACATAAATCAATGAAGGCGTCGCCTAACTTGTATTTACAGTGGTGTGTGTGGGTGTGCGAATGTTAGCAGTCTGGAGAGTGTTCATGTATTTCTTTCTGTGGTTTATTTTGTGTGTGTACATGTATGTGAGTGCTGAGCATGTTGCGCTATAATAGCCCAGCCATCCTGTTCAGGCACAGAGGGAGTGGTAAACAGTGACCATATGTGTGCGAGTGCCGGTGAATGTGTGTGTGTCTCTCCAGCACTACCTCACATCTGGATAACAGACCACGCTGGAAAGTGAACAAACCAATGCTCTCTCTCACTCTCTCTCGCTCTCTCTCGCTCTCTCTGGGGATGCATTCCTTCAAACAGAACCCTGTCCACTCCCTGCTGGTGCCGACACTTGTCGTAGAAAGCTAACAGAGAGCCTAGCTCACATTTTCCAGGTGAAACAAATCCAAATCGCAAACCTCTGAGGGTCAAGCTTTAACCGTGCTATCACCTTCCCTTTCACGGCCAACTCTGGCTGTCTCTTTTCACCTCTGGCAGGCTCTAATGACTCTCATGCATATCTAATGCGAAGCCTCACTTTTCTGGTGGACCATCTTCCTCAAGGTCCATTCAGTTCTGTTTAGATCACTCGAGTTCATTACGGCGTGCGGGAAAATAATTCAGCCTGGAATAGTGTAGGCAGCAAATTATCATATATAAAATGATTCCCTGATATATAAGCAATGGCTGAATGTCCTACCTGGAAGGTCACAGCCCAGTATCTCCACTCGCATGCCGATCCCTGCTGGAGACCATCTCTCCGGATATAGCCTGATGAACTGGGCCACTGTCTCCTCAAAATGACGCAGCTCTGGGGTGTCGTAGTGTGTGTTCCCCTCAAAAATCTGCCCAAAACACACAAATACAGAAGTGCAATGTCATCTCAGTGGTTTGCCAGTGTGGGGTTGCTGCGCTGGTGCTATTTGCAAACACATCATTTTCCCATCAATTGCCCTAACCCACCTTGGGCAGGCTAGTCTTGCTGTCCATGATGAAGTTCCACTCTTTGGCATTCAGGCTGTGTGCCACTTTGTACTTCCTGACAAATGCCCGGTTGTCTGTGGTTGCCCCACTTCCTGCGTCCCCTCCCCGTGCTCCCTGGGTGATCACTCCGCGCACCGTTTTAGGCACGCCAAGGTCCACCTGTAGAGATCACATTTAGATAAATGCACAGTGATTAATGTACTTCACACAAAACAACACATGGTTATGTTTAATTGCAGCTGTGCTTCTTGTCTCAGCTCGTTTGCCCCTGGCAGCTGGAATGGCAGTATGCAGAAGCCGGAATTTAAAGGTACCACTTGTTGCATATATAAACATAACATTTTCACTGTGAAAGTAGCAACAATTACCACGAAGAACTGACACGACCATCTTTTGTATTTAGCACATAACATAAAATGCACTGCAGGTACCAGTAGATGCATTCATTTATTTTTATCCCTATTAGCTGTAATCTGTGCAAAAGTCACTCCTGGGTTCTTACATTTAATCTTCAATACTTAAGTATAATATTATGCTAATGTTTGTAATTTAATGCCAGTGATTCATTGATATGAATGATGATAACATATAACACATTGCGCCTTTAACATTTAAGAAACAATCTGCATGGAGCAGACATAAAGCATACAGTACAGTAAAGTAAAAAAATTGTAATAAAAAGATCCTCTTGTACCTGAAGCCACTCCTCTCCAGCCAGGGGCTGCGCAGGCGCGGGGAACCAGCCGGAGCGGCTGGCCACCAGACGGGCCGTCCCGGGACTCCACACCATGTCCCTGCTGGAGGAGGCTGAGATCTGGGTGTCGGGGAGCAGGCCGGACAGCAGGCCCTGCAGGTCTGAGCATGGAGCATCTGGAGCAGAAAGCAGAGAGGGCAGGGATGATTTTAACCTTGACAGAGAAGTCTCAGCGACGACATAAGCGCACGCTCGTGCTGTTATACACATTTCCCACCTGGGAGCTGTTAAGCTTCACCGCAGGAATGCACTACTGGCCACTGAGCATTAAGAGTTTAGACTGTAGCAAACAGGAGAGGGTGAGGTAAGACACTGAGAAGGGAGGGGAGGGAGAGAGATGTGTAGAACAGCACTGTTCATGTTCAATAGGCAATTACACTGCAATTAGTGAGATAAAAGTATACGTTAAGTTTGCTTTTGATTTGACTTACTTCCCTACTTTACATTCATCCACTTCACATTTCACACATATTTAAGTGTCTTTTATTTCACTGTATTATATCTTTGTATTCTATACAATAGCTTGTCTGCTCACTGCACGGCACACATTTTATGTATATTCACCGACTGAGAGACAGTACATGTAAAAGCACTTGGAAATGAATCTCATTCGGATATGGATGAGCGAGTGGCACTGAAAGTAACTTGCTGAGGGAGTATGTGAGAGGGAGGAATGAGGATTAAGGGGATAAGAAAGGTATAATACTAGGAGTCTGGAGGCAAAGAAGTAGAGAGCGGAAAGAGTGAAAAAAATTAAAGCAGGAAACAGAGACTCTGAGCTGAAGATGATGGCTTGGGGAGACTGGGAGGACGGGAAGATGTAGAGATGAGTCTCCTACAGAGACAAACAGTGGGAGAGGGAAGGATGGAGGGAGGATGAGCGAGAGACTATAGGGGTGGTGGATGAGCGTGGTGGGAGGTGGAGAAAGCTTGAGGAAGAGGCGCGGAGGAAGAGAGAAAGGGCAGGAGGAAGGGAGATGGGGAGAAGATGTTAGTTGTGCTGACGGTTTAAGAGAACACAGATCAAAGTTTCATGCTGTTATGTCACTGCAAGAGCAGGAGATGTAAATAATGAATAAACGGCACAGGAAGTGTGTATGTGTGGCGTCTGTGTACATTTCTAAGGGTGTGCCTGCTTTTGAGGTCACTTGCTATATTTAGAAACCGCCTGTGTGTGTGGATGTAACCTGTACTGTAAGAGCTAATAGCTATTTCAATAGCAGCTGTTGAGGCTGGAAGCGAATCACAGTTTGTGATGTAAGAGCGAACGAGGAGCCATGAATGATTGATCGGTACTCGTTTCTCGATATGGAGGAGCTTGCGGAGCAAAGAGGACACATCAAAAAAGCATCTAAAACCATGAGAGGGAAAAGAGGCGGCGTTGGGGGAGTTGGAGGCAGAAAGCGGAGCACGGAGAAGACGTGGGAGAGCATCGAGAGAGGGAAATGACACTGGTGGTGCCTGTGGAAGGAAGAATGGAGTAAAAGTTTCCTTTAATTAGCCAGAGGCTTCCTATGTTTAAAAGATAGCGGGGGATTGTGGGAGAGAGCCTAAATACACATGGTGTTGGAAGTTCTTTTTTTGCTGATGTTCAATGTTTTTAAAAATCCCCTCCAGACATATATTACATATACAGATAGTCTATTTGGAACAATAATGTGTGTCTGATATGTTTTTTTTAAAATCCTTAAAAATAATCCATAATCAATAAATATGCAAATTTGGTTAATTTCTTAAGTTTTCCTGCTCGACACAAGATGTCCCCTGCTTTCACTTCAAAGTCCATTCTCAGTGTATGTGCACTGGTGGCTTCAAGTTTCTACATCACACTTAAATAAATTACATACCGGACCAGGATTGACTTCCAAACTATTAGTGATGTCACAAATCATGCTTGCCCTGCCCGTTAAAATCAGATTTTTCAATGAGCTCAGAGAAACTGCACAGACATCATTCTGCACAGTGAAGATCAAACATCACACTGTGGGAACAAGAAGATTTTTGACTGGAGAGGGACTTTAAAGCTAATTTTTAGTGTTCAAACAGTTGTTTTTCATGGTAAGACATCAAAAAAGGCAAGCATCTGACAACAACATTGCTGATTTGAATCCATAAATCACCAAATACAACAAAATAGGGATTAAAAAACGTTCTCCTCTCCCGCATCTCTTCTGTTGAATTGCCTTTGAACATGAACCTCAGCCCAAAGGTGCAGCAGTTGTTGTCTCTGCTAAGTCAAACAGTGTTTAAGTGCAAGTCAGGATGAGCCTGACAAAGTCAACTTTCTTTAGGCAAGACAAAAGGTTAGAAAAGGCTAACTTCGTGACACACACGCCCACACACACACACCTGTAATCTGGCATCCGTAGAGCTCGAAGCGAAGGGCGATGCCGTTCCTCCAGGTCTGTGGTCGGATACGAACAAACCGGGCCAAAACTGGCTGCGGGACCCGGTTCAGAACTACCTCGGCTGGGTCTGTGTTGGCGTGGAAAATCTGGGAAAACAAAGACAAATAGAAGACAAACAACAGTTAGTTACTGTCAGAAGGAGATGTACTGTTCATGCCGGTATCTTATCTCTCTCTCTTTCTCACACTCAAACACACACACACACACACACACACACACACACACACCCCCATGGAGTGCATGGTTTCGCTTGGCTACACACATACACACACACAGTGGCAGGCCGGACAAAGCAGAGACAACCCAAACACGGATCCAATGTCACCATCCCAGCTGTCGATGTGTTTTGGGGTCAAAGGTTCGCCGCTGGGATGCTGGGAAAGCCCGGCGATGGGTGAGGGTTTCTTTCTCTCTCTCCTTTCTCCATGTTCTCTCACACACACACACACACTGCTCCCTCATCCACCATACACCTCCACGCTGGTGGCCATGGGAAACGTGACCTGACGCAGGCAAACATGATTGGCCGTCAGATGCAGGAAGTCTCTCCAGGTGGGCAGGATGTGAGTGAAATTAACTTCCCGAGGCGTCCCGACCCAAAGCATCAACATTCACTTCACTTCTCTGCGAACACTCCCTTCCTCCCATTTGCTCTTAAGCGGCGGGGAGGGGCAGCAGGGGTCGGAGGGCAAATGTAACCAGGGTGGTCAGGATACTTCCTGTTTTGGGCCGAGCAGCATCCCACGATGCTTGAGGGTGTTACATTCAATGACAGACTTGAGTGTTCCTTCGTTTCTTTTTTTGTGTTTGTACTCATAAACAACTTCCTCTTCCTTCCACTCTCTCTGTCTGTCATTACCACAACACCTCCATTTTCTCCTTAACCATACAGTTGATATCTCTGCACACTCTCTCAGCCTCGCTGCTTTTCTTCCTCTTGTTGGTGGCTACAAACTGAAACCACACACACAAAGACACAGGAAACCGCAGGAGCCCACACAAACACACACTCAGATAAGGCAAAGGAAGTGTCTTTTAACCAACTGAGTGACTGTTGAGTGTCCTTCACTCTATCTGTCTGTGGTCGATTGGGCCAGCTGATAGCAGAGCCGCTGCTGACTGACAGATTTGAGCAAAAACCACGCTGCCTGGCATCACAGCCCTTACACCCAACGGAAAGATGGAGAGACAATTGCTACAAGCAGCAGAATTAAAGATTAAAGACATTGTTTCTTAAAAAAAAGAGCCTTACATGGTTTCTCTTTTACTCTAATCCAAGCACAGGGGGATCAAACCTCAGCACACTCCCATAGCCTACAATTTTAACTCCCTCTTGTTTGTTGTATTTCATTAAACGTGGTAAACAGAATAATACAATATTTCCATATTGGTGTAAAGTGACCCATTTGTAAAATTCCCTGTCTGGCAAATGCTTCCAAAAATGATATTCCAGAAATTCCATAGCCAGTGGGAATATGACTTCAAAATCCTACTCGAGGGGGTTTTATTTGATTTTGGGCATGGCCTGATTTAATCAAGTGGAGCTGACACTGGCAATACAAAGCAGCGTGTTTCAACAGATAAGCGGGTCTATCTCTGCTGTATCTGCTGCTGGATTGAGGATAGACAGCCGTTATGTTTACCTAGGAGGCCAAACAGTGGATGTGGGCTCTTATGGGTGTTATGTAAACACCCACGCATGCTCACACAAAGACATGACGGGAGGGTTTTCGCCTCACATATGAGCCAACCCATCGTTACCGCTCCCAGATATTCTGCCTGTGAAACAAAGAGTGAGCGGGGAGGAAGAGACGGAGAGGACAGGAAAAACAGAAAATGACTGCGGGGAGGAAGGGTCCTCAGAAGAATAGTTAAAAACAGATGAAAAGGAGAGGGGTGGAGGCGGGTGTGAGAGAGGGGAGAGAAAACGGAGAGGTTGAATGGAGGGCAGGAGATATAACTGAATGAGGAATAGGAGCGCAGGAATGTGGAAGAGGAGGCAGGGAGCGGTGGCGAGTAGGAAGGAAAGAACAACGAGCAGATTCATCACAGAAACAGGAAATATCTCATAATGCAAAATTCAGTGTAATTAAATGTCTATCATTATTTAAACATAGTACAAGGACTCTGATGCCTCTGTATGACCTACATGTCAGAAGATTGGCTATTTCTGTATGGTTGTTCTTAATGCCTGCCACCGGGTTGGATTTGGTCGAATTTCCCTTGAAATCAATCAAAGGAGGCGTTAGAAACACTACCGCTTTTGTCCACAGGGGCTGCCAGACCAACACAAAATAAAAGAGTTCCTTGTAGGGCTTTAAAGTTGAATGCAAACACATAATCTGATAAACAAGCATCAGAATATTACATCTCATGTAAATATTGTTACCAGCCGTTTTAACTTCAGCTTCTTTTTGATGTGAAATGTTCTGTTAAGTTGTGATAAGTAAAAATCAAGTAAAAAAAAGTTATCAGGTCCACTAAAAGTTCAGTTTCAAAAGGGGAAAGTTCAGATATGTCTGTAAAATATTCTTCCGCTACAGCTTTCCAGAAATGTCTTGTTCCAATCGCACAATCTGTCCGCCATGACTAAAAGGCCATTAGCTGGTGCATTACAATACTGCCAGCTGCTTTTAAAAGTAGAGAATAGGGCCAACATTACTGACTCAAAAAGAACATTTTGTTCAATAAGAATCAGCTATCCAGAGGCTCTTTCCATTTTTCCGTTGGATGTGAGAGGAGAGAGGACAAACCTAAGGCAGGAGAAAGAGAAGGGAAGACAATAAGGAGTTGTCAGTCGACTCCACTTCCTGCCATCTATTGTCAGGCTACCTGAAAGGTCACTAGTTTGACCCCTGGCCCATTACTTCCAAGGTTAAAGGTCAATGGCCTTAGGAAGCAAATGGTTGGTCATTGACCAGATTGTTGACAACGTGGTTACTTTGTGACTAGCTGGGAATGTCCATTAGATATTATTGAAATGCACGTATTGCAGACTAGTGATGGGCAGACCGTTTCACTCGCTGACGTCCTCGTACGAGATGATGATTTCTGCTCATGTTTTGAGCGACTGCACCACCGTAGCTTAACAGCGAGTGGGCGTGGGCAGTATGAGTGGGAAAAGTCGGAGATTGAAGTCTTTCATGAACAGTGAGCACTCTGTAATTTCGACACTAAAAAGAGCCAGATTTGTTTGTTTGCCCATCACTAACTTGTTACTGGGCAAGGCTGCCAGTCTGTTGTCTATGGGCCACCTCTGTAAATCTGCCTAGCGACTGGCATGTTTTTTTGCATGTGACACGTAGGCGAGGTGGGCTGAATAATTAACGTCGTCATGTTGTGTCTCCTAGTGTGGAGAGTCATGAAAATATAACGAAGCCCTGCTCGTAGTCTGAAGCCCCCCTCACACACACATGGCAGCCTGCGACGGGTCAGACTTGTTTGTGTGGACATTGGCGGGACACAGGCACCATGGGTATTTAACTATTGATGACCTCTCTGGAGAATGAGGTCACTGTGAAAGCCGTGTGTTATAGCAAACACCCTCTCTGATATCTACAGCTCCGGACCAGCAAATAGAGTCAAAACAAGCTTCCTGAACAGACTGAATTTCACCGGGACTTGCCGGAGTGAAGAACATTTGTTCTCTGGAAAACGAGTCGAGGATAGATGTGTACATCATAGCCTGATTCATTTACCATCTTTCTCTTTCTCTCTCCATTCTGTGCTTTTGGCATACGTCTCCTTCCTTTGCCAGTGTTTTCCTTCAAGCTGATGGCACCACAGGGAGCTCTGCACAAGACATTATTCGTTTCCCGGCCGTTTTTTTTTCATAGCCGTGTTGTTCCCTCGATCCCAGTCTCTTTCTCTGTCCATTACACTCGTCATCCCTGTCTTCTTGGTCTAGTTATTCTCTCTGTCTCTCTCTCTTTCTTCCTAGCCATTAACCATACAACCCCCCTGCCATCGCCCACCCCGTCTTTGCTCTAGACGTTCTCTCCCTCCCTCGTTCTCGGTATGAAGATGTTGACAGTAGGAACTGGTTCCAGCTGGCCGCTCTCCTCTGCTGGCTCTAAGAGGGGCCAGCGGTGTGTGTGTGTGTGTGCTAAGGTTGAAGCAGTGATCCTTAGAAATTGTCTTATGTTGATGTCTCCCACTTTGTACCAGTGTTACCAGTTGTGTGTGACTCTTTAACTTCTGTCAGCATATGCAAAATAATTTTTGAAGAATCAGGATGTGAGAAACAAAGCTTGTGAGTGTGTGTGTGTGTGTGTGTGTGACACAGTGTGATGGAGGAGCGGGCTGAAATGCTGTGTGGGCTGCTTTTTCTCTCCCAGGTTACTTTGTATGTGAGTGTGTGCGTGGGGGTCTGTGTGTGTGTGTGTGTGTGTGTGTGTGTGTTGAACAGATTTAGCACAGCCTCACAATGCTTTTCAGTAACACAGTGCTTGGTTAGCAGTGGGGCTGATGGGATTTTCCTCACAGACGGATGACATGATGTGTGTGTGCATGTCTTTAATGTTAATTTGTTTGGGTGCACGTGTGTGTGTCTTACAGCTCCAAAACAAAAAAATCATTGTGTGTCTGTATCTATGTGCGAGTGTGTGTGAGAGATATGCTATTCCTAAGTGTGCTAGCGTCTCATCAAGTAATGAGGTGCATATGTGAGCAGTGCGATTTAGAATTAACAAGTCACATGGGTGTCAAAGAGAAAATGTGTTGGCATGCAGAAAAAAAAAAA